GCCTCAGGATGCGGAGCCCGAGGTGCCGAGCTACCAGCCAGAAGATCCGCACAGGGGGCCCGAGATGGTCCCTCCGATGCAGGAGCCAGCGGGGGGCCCTTATGCTGAGACTACATACACAGGGGCTCTTACATACTCTGGTGCTCCTGCTTACTCCGGGTCTGCTCATACGCGAGCTGGTCCTTCGGGCTCGGGGGCCCCGGGGGATTTCAGGAGCGTGCTGACGCCAACCTACGCTCTTCAAAAGAGTAAAGAGGCCATCTTCCCCAAGGAGGTCGCGGCATGGACTAATCTCCCTCTATACCAAGTGGCCTGCCGTGCCGTTACCCATGCTATGGTGGTAAGTGTTCTCCTTTTTTAGCTCTTTGGCTTTTGTTTTGTTGGTTCTTTTGATCATTCGGTTTCTCTTTTGGCAGGTAAATTCTTCCATTCACGCCTTGGCGGCTCAGGTGGAGAGGAGCTCGAGGCAGGTGCGAGTTGCCGAAGAGGCTCGTCGTGCGGCCGAGGAAGCCGCTCGTGCTGCTGAAGCTACTGCTCGTGCTGCTGAAGAGACTGCACGTGCTGTCGAAGAGACTGCACGTGCTGCCGAAGAGACTGCTCGTTTTTCCCGGATTAGGCAGGCGAGGTCTCAGAGAGATGCCGAGGCCATGGGAGTGGGGGTGAAGCACATAGCGGACTTGAGGTTGGATTTGCAGCATCAGGTTGAGTATCTTCAGGAGGACATCAGGGAGAGGACGTAGATCTTCTCCCAAGGTATCGAAGATGCCAAGAAGAAGGTCGTCAAAGAGTACATCGCTTCGCCGGGTTTTGACGATCTGATGGTGGATTCATATAGGAGGGGTTTTAAGCTAAGCCAGTGGATGATCCGGAACACATACCCCGAGCTCGATGTTAGCGCCATATCCACTTCGCGCATAACTTAGGAGATGGCTAATGCTGCTGATGCCGAGCCAGACTCCGAGGGTGAGGCGGGGCCTTCGGGTTTTGTCGAAGTGCCTTCAGACGATGATGAAATAGCTCCTGGCTTGTAAATTTTTTTTTTTTGTATTACCCTACTTTTGGAATAGAATGATTTGTTTAAGTGCTTGTTGTTCTCTCCCGAACTGAGCATATTTGCCGAATTGAATGTATTTTCCGAACTGACTATACGTCCGGTCTGTTTTCTTTGCTTGTTCCGAGATCCTTCGTTAGCTCGGCATCCTAGCCCGTAGGCTTTGGTGGTGATTTTACCCATTTCGCTTGGCGTTCTATAGGTAGTATCGCCTTAGGTTGACAATGTTCCATGCTCGGGGTACTTGTTTTCCCTCTAGGGTTTCGAGCTCATATGCCCCCCCGAGTGCTTTCTTTACTCTGTAGGGTCCTTCCCAATTTGGTCCAAGTTTCCCTACGCCGGGTTCGGGCAACATGACCTTACAGAGAACCAGGTCGCCGACGCGGAAGTTCCTCTTCTTTACTCGCGCGCTATAATATTGAGCTACCTTTTGCTGGTAGGTCGCAGCTCGGATGTGCGCGAGGTCTCTCACCTCATCCAGTAGGTCGAGGTTGGTGCGTAACTCGCCTTTGTTTGTCTATTCGTCGTATGCTTCTAGTCGCAGCGTAGGTACTTCGATTTCCGCCCGGATTACCGCCTCGGTGCCGTAGGTGAGGTTAAAGGGAGTCTCTCCTGTGGCGGTTTTTTCTGTGGTTCGGTGAGCCCATAGAACACTTTGTAGCTCGTTTGCCCACAACCCTTTAGCTCGGTCTAGTCGTGCTTTCAGTCCGCGGAGGATGGCTCTGTTCATTACTTCTGTCTGACCGTTTGCAGCCGGGTGTGCGACCGACGTGAAGTTCTGATGAATTCCCATATTTTGGCACCATTCTTGGAACTTGATATCCTCGAACTGTTTGCCGTTGTCGGAGATCAGTACCCGAGGTAGCCCGAAGCGACATACTATGTTCTTCCAAAAGAAGTTCTGTATGTTTCGGGCTGTGACCATTGC